ACACACACACACACACACACACACACACACACACACACACACACACACACAACCGTAATACATGTCACAATGATGTGGATTCAGGCGCTTGTCAATTTTTGGACATGTGGGGTTATCTCAAAGCCTATCCATTTGTCATGCTTTGGGTTTAAAAAAAAACAACAACGTTTGTTTTGAAAAGATATGCTTACAATAATTGAAGGAGACAGGGATCGCCTTGTTTCAGAGGAAAAATTAGAGAGAAAATGGCCATCAAAGTTTGTGACATCCATACCTTGGGAGTCCTTGAAAACTTAAAATAATTTACAGTTTGTGTGCTTTTAATCAACCTTTTTCGGTGAATTCAATACATAGAAGGAGTTTAGCCACAGAAGAAGGAATTTAAAAAACATACCTAACACCGATAAAATTGCCATTTTCTTTGTCTTCTTTATTTTGACAAGCGCCTGATTTCACCACGATGCTTCACATATTATAATAAAGTCTTACGTCGGCAAGACACCTAGCCTCTACACCACAGGCAACACTCCAACAGTACTGCTAGCCGTATGAGGATCTGATTGATAAGGATTTCTTTTAGCTTTCTTTCAGTTTTAGTAGAGGTTTTATGTCGCTTGCAATTGCATGAGGTCATACGGGCGCCAGAAGATTAGAGGTGTTACAAGGGAGTAACAAACAAAAACAAAGAAGAAGGGGAGAAAAAGACGATAGATGTTTGATAGGAAAGAAGAAGCAGACCACACTAGCCAAGAATTTCTTGGAAAGAAAAGAATTTAATTAAATGAGATAGTACTTTAAAAAGCTCACGAGGGTCTTTCGCTGATAAAAACAACCTGGAAAAGACAAATGCATTGTATGTTGAACTTGAATAAATATGAAGGTCATGAACATCTAACTCTCACCGGCAGAATTGAATACAAACAGGACAGGGTATACCCAGAGAAACCTACTTGGACAGCTTAAATAGATAGGTGACTGGGAAAGATCAGATTAAATGTTTTTTTTGAAAGCTTCAGAGCAAAATAGAACCATAAAAGGCGATGCCTGTGTCAGATTTGATATTCGATGGTGAACCTTGTAATCTTAAAGTTATGGCCATCCAGACTGCATAATCTTACCAGCAGCAAGAATGATATCAGGCTGTACGACTAAGTAAAATACACATCTGTTGGAGACAGTACAAGTTTATTATTTCTAACATCTCTACCACCACCCCCCCCCCCCCCCTTTGTGCTGCTTCCCTGTCTTCCGTACCTTATTCCAAGAAAAAACAAAACCAAAATCCGTTATAAAAAATCAAGTCCAACCTCATTTTAAAAGGATTAAAGTGACTAATGGAATTGACAAGAAGGAGGGAGACCCCCTACCGCAAACTATATCGCATTATCAGATCTACGTGAGACCAACGTAGATTTCTATTTGTAAATTGCTCTATACAGAATGTTTATCTCTGTATGGCGCAAATATGTCAAAGTGTCGTCGATGGTCTACTAGGTAAACTGCCGGACTCATTATCGTGAGATTGTGGCTTTGGGGTTCAAACCTCAGCCCGGTTCGAGATTGTGCCCTTGGGAAAGGCATTTTACACGAATTTCCCATTTGGCTCTGTCCTTTTAGGGATGGTCGTTAAACTTAGAGGTTCCTCCCTCTTGAGAAACCCAACCGTGTTGATAGAAGCATTACACCTATACCGTTTTACGACAAAGCCTCGGAGCTGTAAGGGCATATGGAAGTTGGAGAAAGTATAGACAGTACTCTTTTGTTACCTGATTGTGTGTTTGTGTATACATATTTTTATATAATTATATAAAAAGTGAACAAGCAACAAAAAATTGTTTTAAACAACGAAAAACATGCATGTTGCATCTAACTGGCCAAGGTCACCAAAGCCTATAACAAGCCCCGCAAATTCTTCAGGACACATCGGGATTCCTCTCTAGTCTAGTTATCCCTCCTTTCTCAAGTGAGAGCAGCAAAATTCCCGCGTCCGTGGAACCCATTAATTACCATTGTCCGAGTTGACGGGGCTGGCGGTGGCAACACCCGAGGTGTCGTATGTAGGAAATTCTGGGGAGTTGGGGAGGACTTAGAGTCCTGGGGGCATTCACCTTATTCTGGAGAGTATGTCACTTCCTTCTTTTTGTGTCCCTCGCGGAATGTGGAAGAAGTCATACTGTTTTGGGGGGAAGGCAGAGTTAACGATAAGGCTTCGCGGTGGGGCGACGAAAATGATCGTGTTATTTATAATTATTCTCTCACATTTTCGCTTTTGCCTTGAGATTCGATTGCGAAACAGAAGACTGAGAAGGGTATTCTGAGATCTGTTTGTAGTACATATCAACACACACACACACACACACACACACACACACACACAAACA